CAAAGAAGGGATCTCCTAGGAAGCATTAAGCCTTGGCGTTCTGCAGCCTTCATCCATTCCATGACCTCCATCTCCAACCCTCAGGGAGGAGGCTGGGAAAGGGCTTTGACCATCAGTTTAATAAAGGCAGCTTCTCTGCTGTGGATCTCTCGCCTGTGTTTCATCTCCCACAGTGGGAACCAAGCACTCAGGGACACTTCAAAGTCCCAGCAATCTACAGCTGCCTTTTTTGGTAGCTGCTAGAAGACTTTGTTGGTGTTCCCTCTTAACTGGATGGTAAATATTTTATTTTAACCTTTGGCAATTTTTAATTCTGATACCTTCAGGACTCAGAGTAGTCTGTCACAGTCCCTGGTGTAGTGGTTATGTGACCCTCCATTATGAGCACTTTAAAGTTAACTACACACTAGCCTCACACACTGATTGAATTTTGGGTTGCATGAAACGCAACCTGGTATCAACTAACTATTCATACCAAACAGAGTACATAATTAAAAGTCACAGTTCCTGTCACCTGTGTGTCCTAAGATGTGGTTCAAGTAATCACGAGTGTGTCAGGCACATGTAGGTAGCCACCAACGATCTGCCTTTAAGAGCAGGGATCCATCCAAATCAAGACATTTTTCCTAAAGTGCATCCAAAAGCTGCCTCTTTCAGCTCAACCCTGGAAGTCAGAAATGTCCAACTAGAGAAGATGGAGTCAAAAGAATAAAGATGGCAGCTGTTTTAAAGAGCATTCCATGCACAGCTAAAAAGAAGCGGGACTTTGTCTGCACAGTATTGGACAATTTGACTGCCATCTTGAAGGGTTTTTTAACTCCCATCCAAGCCCTGAAAACAGTCTTCTTGATTATTTTGAACAATAATTTTATTAATGATTATAATTGCAGATTCAACATAGAAACAATAAAAGTATGTTTAACGATACGGTATGTGGGTGTATATATTACAAATACAATGTGAATTAAAAAAAAAAACTTACAACACAATAGGAAAAAGAAACTTTCCTATTTTCCTGCATCTTCTTTCTACATCTCAAAGTCATTTTTCATCCTTAAATCTTCAGTTCTCCTTATTGATCAATAAAGGACTAGTAAAAAATAACAAAAACATCTGGGTGCTTTGACTTATGACTTAAACAACCTACAACCAGAAATGCATTCCCAGTTTTGGTCATCAGTCAAAGAGTTCCTGTACACTGCAAAACATTATATATACTCCCAACACTCTTATAACTCATTGTCTAAAGATTCTTAAGAACAGTCAGGTGTGTCTTTTGAAAAAAAAAATGTTTCTCACATTCTTCACAATTGAAGAGATTTATCTCTGCTATGGACCTTATGATGCACTTGCGACACTGGTTTCCTGATTGTGAAGGTTTCCCCACACCAAAAAACTGTAGGATTTCCCATCTGGGACTGTGTGAAGTTCCTGGTGAACTATAAGATGTGACATTTAAAAAAATGTTTTCCACATTCCTCACAACTGAAGGAGTTTATCTCTACTATGGACTTTCTGATGGATTTTTAACTGAGATTTACAATGAAAAGTTTTCTCACACTCTGCACACTTGTGAGTCCACATGCCTTAAAATTGTCAAGGTTGAGAAACACTGGTATAAGGGGTTCCTCAACTTTTAACCTGAAGCAAATCTCTGCCCATCATGGATCCAGGTCATAAATACCTTTTGAGGGTGGAGTCTGATACGATTGGCCCTTTCCAGGGTGATTTGCGGAACCGGTGATGTACGATAGTCAGGCTGACTATCGGGCCTCGCATGCGGCTTAAGAAGACACGGACAACATCTTCCTTTGGTGAGGTGTGTAGAAGCAGGAGCGAAAAGACCCCTTGAGTTCTTACGCACCTACTTTTATTAGAGTATAGCAGGTATGGGAGT